TGATGTTGGGATGAATGGAATTTATGTGTTTAAAGAAAGTTAGTGTGTGTTCTGTAGAAGTGAAACCAGCAAAAGTGTCATTGACATATCTGTACCAGTATAGTGGGGGATGAAGCGCAATATGTATGGCTTGTGACACTGGACTTTGTTCATATTGCTAATATGGTAACAGCTTTTCATAATGTATACATTTAATTTTTCTGCTTGTTCCTCTATATACGTCATCCCACATTTATAGGTTGAATAAATTTTTAGATTAGCACAGGCCTAGACAGATCTAAGGTCACCATGGTGACTAAAAATTTCATCATGGCACCTAGTATTGTATCCCATTTTATTTGTGCGTAAAGCTGTGCTACATAGAACTCAAATCTAGAACAGTTTTGAACTTTTGGAAGTCCTTAATTATTTTTGCATTATTTGAGTCCTATATTGAGCTTTGTTTCTATGATTTTAATGGCAGATTGAGCACTTCATGTTTTTTCAGGAATGAAGCACTGTGGTTGCACAAAACGCTACTAATTTTGTGCCATTTTGTTTTTTTTCTTTCTCTCAATTCACCCAATCTGTGCACATGTTTAGACTCAGACAGGACCAAAGGCAGTTAGTTCAGGCAATTTTATCAAGTGGTTGTTGATATTATGTGATCATTAGCATGCACTCATTGCTGTGAAAGTAAATAAATATACACTGGTGCCTAGGTTATCCATGCTGGTCAAGAGAAAGCAAAAAATTATGGATAACAGAAACAGCAAGGCACTAATGCATCTCACTAGTCAACCCATTGTTTAATCTATATATATTTCAATATATTTAAGTTCCTTTTTTAAATTATAATATTTATTATTGTCATTTAATGACATTATCATGAAAAATTATAAAAGTCGTCACAATACTAATCATAAAAGCAAGTGGTTGGTCAGTCAATTGGCCACGTTCCATTTCTCCAAATTTCGTGAGTTACACAACTCTAATTCCACTTTTTTCTCCTATAATACTTCCTATTTTGAATGCCCAATCCTATTTTAGTTGAATTAAATCACTAATGTAAGAGTAAATAACTCATAAACTTTGGCACTTTTTCTGCTATGTGTGTGAAAAATAAGTCAAAAATTAGTGCAAGTCTATGCTTGGACATTACTACAAAAAAGCCTTTGTTGAAACAGACCGAAGATACCAATTATCTTAAGGGAAGAGGACAATGCATAACTGAGCAACATCCCAACACAACCTTAAAATGCATCTGTGGTTAAAGGATGCCCACCATATAGCATAGAACAGCTGACTGAACTTAAGTGAAATCTTTATGTTTATTTTGTGTGTTTTTGTATAGCTTGTTTTTAACCACTAATCAAATAAAGTTAACAAAGCTACAAATAAATGAGGCAAGGCTAGGCTTGAACCAGCCAATTTCAACACATGGCTGATCCTGCACGTGAAAACCTCAGATACCATGCAACACCTGAACTTTTACAATCAAGATTAATTTCCGAGTGACAATTTCTCCAAAACATGCAAATTATTGTTTAGAATTGTAATGGCATTTGTTATTTTGAGAAAATTTGTGGAAAAACTAGGAATAATCGAGGATCGCAGTTTTAATGGAAGCGCAGATAATTGAGGCACTAGTGTAGCCCCCATTTCCCGGTGCAAACCATAGTGAAATTAGGTTAAGCACACCTGGCTCCTGAGTTTTTGGGTTGGCTCCTAAATTTAAAAATATCTGTTGAGACCTGAAATACCAGTAACTAAATTAAACACCTCATGCAAAATTATCAGTTCTTTCATGTCAGGCTTTTGTTAAGGTAATAAACATGAAAAGGTCACAGGATGTATTTCAACTCTGTACTTGAACTTAAGTAATTATTTTATATCAACAATCCAAAATGTCTTCTAAATAGTTCTCTGTTTTGTCCTGTTGTGAAACCATCATGAATTATGGATTAAAGATACTATAAAGTGCAAGTTAACAAACAGAAAGTGATATAAAAAAAAGTTAACTGCAGATGTCTGTTTTTTCTTCACATTACTCTTAATTTATGCATTGTAACTCGAAATCAGAAGTCTGTAAACCATAACATTTACAGTACTATACTGCATATATAAATAGCATTTCATAGAATCATTTGTCTCTCATGAGTTCTGGTGAAAAGCTTATTGGGCAGTGACGTTTGTGATACAAAAGACAGATCTGAAGTGCTATTTGTTTTTTTGTTTTTTTTACATACCTATAGTTTTGAGCTGCAAAAGATAAATTAAGAGGAATGTAGAAGAAATAAATCTATAAGTAACTTGAGTTTGTAATAATATTTCACCAGCTTTTGACATTTAGAGTGAAAGATGAAATAAGTTAACTCTCCTCCTATAGTGAAACACACAATAGCAGTTGAGGGGGGCTAAACTAATGGTTTGTAGTTCTTTTAAAGATAAAAATAATGTGCACTTTACAATTTCAACTTTAGTGGAAAATAAATAATTGAGGTTCTCTTATAGCAAAAAATGGTCAGAATGACTGGTATGGATGACCAGCTACCAATGAAAGGTTCAAACCTACAGCACAATGATAAATTACAAGCCAGCTTTACCAACAGTATTTTTTAATTTTTATATTAATAAGTCAAAGGCTCACAAGACCTATCCTGACAGTAGACAGTATCCTTAGTAGTTACGAGTGTAAGAAACTATGAATTATCAGTTACAAACTTTCCCTGGGGCTTTATCCAACAGAGACTAGAACTAGTTTGCCTGCACTTCATACATTTCCTTTTTTATTACATTTTTCATTTGTTCTTTCAAAAATCAAAAGGATAAAATCTAAATAATCTGTATAAAATACAATCAAAAACAAGAACAATTATTCAACAAAAACAAGTACTGACTATTAGGAGAAAAAAAAAATTCATTACATGGATTAGATTACCACACAAACTGACCAATCCATTTGATTCAGAGATCATGAAATGATCAGAATTAAAAAGAAACAATGAAAAAAGACTACTTTTTTGTTTCAAATTAACTATTAATAATTGTTTTTCAAAACAAATTAATTTTGTACGTGCTTACAAATTCAACTGGAGCTAATAAAGATTCAATGAATGCAGATATGTCAATAAATGTTGGAAACACTGACTGTTATTCATTTAGCTTCCACAATTTGTTTGCTGAATTTTCCCAGCGTTATAGCAGTGAAATGAAAATTTAAGTCCTTTTCCAGGCCCAGGATATCAAAATTTATTCATACATACACATATATAAACAAAAAAAAACTCGTACCTCAGGGTGAAAAAAAATCTCTGGACCAAGGAACCTTTCATACCCAACATCTACAGAAAATAGCTGTTTGGTGACAGTATTGATTCCTTCATATTTTTTCATCCATTTGGCAGGCTCCTGATCATATTTTGAAAATTCTTTGGCAATGTCTGGGCAGATGTAACAGTACTTCTCCTATTATAAAAGTGTCAAAATTAACACATTAGACAACTATTATTAGCTCTATAGAAAAATCAAACATATAAAAATAATCTTTCAAGAGAATCTGGATTCATCAAAATTAATTTATAGGAAAAAAAAAAGAAGTATCACAGTGACAAGTATTTTCCACGAAAAATCCATAAAAAACTGTCATAGTTTAGCTAAATTTGGTTGCACTGTTTCATAGCTTGAGAGATACACATTTCCATATACTATGTATTGGTGTAAAAAGATAATACACCTTAAGAGAATCTAGCATGCACACCTGATTGTTTTATTCACTGTACACGAGCAACATCTAATAAGGTGCAAGTACACATGTGTATTTTGAAATATCAGTACCTTCCAGAGGGCAGGATTGGCATTATTTCTGTATATTTCTATTAAGCATGATGAAATGTTGACAGACCAAAGATATGATTGACTGTAATATCTTAGCTTTCCATATACATTCTTAATTATTATCTGGTTGTTTCTATCAATTTTTCACAAGTTGGCTTTCAAAAGTATTTATTGCTTTGTGATGGAAAGTTACAAATACTTTTACACTCAATATTGAGTGTATCAAACCAGAAAAATTATACACACAAAACGCATACAGAATGACACTACAAGAACATCCAAATTATCTCCATACACTTGTATGTTTCTGTATATATGTTTAAGGTAAAGAAAGACTTTTATATATATATATATTTGGTTTAATAAAAAAACTTCATTTGTTAAGTATAAGTATTATTACTCTACTAAAAGTGTAAACAAACATGCAGGATATATATATTCATGCACAGATATTATTTGAAATGTGTTTCTTTTTTCAGCAAGATCTACAAAAATAAGCTTGTTCAGGATGATGGAGAACTCTGTTCATTATCACAGATTACATGAATATAAGGTATTCTTGTTGTCTAGTTAAATGACTGATTCAATGAGCCTACATTGACAATTGAGTTACCTTCAGCTGAACACATTGCTTTCATCTTGAGAACATTCTTTCCTTCCATGTCTGTTATCTAAAAATTTTGAAATAACTGCATCAACTGGTTCAATACAGTCAAATGTGTGTACTTTTATGTACATAAATTTATAAAAAGTCATGGGATAGGCACACTAGAATTAGCTATGGGTAACACAGCCAATATTCTGCCTTACAGTATCCATAGGTCTTCCATTTCTTCAGCACATTACCCACAATGAATATAGGTGCATGTAACTGAGCTGGCATGTTGGACACTATTACTAAAAATAGTACACCCAATAACCCTTCATCACTGCAGTGCTGTGAGCTCTTTGTAGTGTGTAATCTCAACCCCCTGTGGCATATATTGACCTTTATAAACTCTACACAGTAATACATAATGAAATTCAGATGCGAAATTAGTGGATAGGGTCATTACAAGCTGAGGGTGTACCTTACTAAAGAGCAGAGACTTTATAATACTGACCCAATTAAGCATAGTTGCAAAATTGACTATTTTTCTCTACAAATCTTAAATACCAATACAGGTATACATGTATGATGTTTGAAGTATTTTAAACATTAAGTGTAGAAAATCTGAACACCAATTTACATCTGCAAAAATAATAGTTCTCCTTTAGAGAGAGAGAAAAAAAAGCCCAAAAAATGTGAAACCAGGTATAATTTACAAATTAACTTGAAAGATCAAAGACAATAAAAAATAGTATTAATACTTTTTTCAAGCAGTTGTAGCTACAGTGCATAGCTGAATGGATATATCTGAACCATTTTCCTTCATTTAGAAGTAGGTATGACTATTAGGATGGACATGAAAACTAATTTTGAGATAGGATGAAAAGTTTGGAGTAAAATTCTATAAACAAAGTTAATCTTAACCCTTTTTATACTATTATCATTTTACCTAATCAATGTTATACAAGCCTGATCAATACTTATCACCACAGGTGAAAAAATAAATTGATAATATAGCAAGATATAATTAAAGTTACCTTCTGAAAATTGACAAACAAACAGAATATGAGTAACAATGAACTAATCTAGTAAATAAAGGAATTTTCTTTCTATAGAAACAACTTTATTAGTTTTATAACTAGAAATACTAAATAAAACATACAAATTGTACTATTTAAACCAAAAGAGAGTTATTTGAAAAAATTATATTTACAATTTAATTATTAACTTTTGAAAATAGACAGGATATTTGTGTTACTAGGTCAAGAAACCCAAAATCAGTATTTATTGTTTAGAATTGCATGATATATTACTAAATTCTGGCCAAATCATTATCTACAAGTTACAGTAAGTCATTTACAAGTGGAGAGTTAAGAATAAACACTATTTTATAGCCTCTATAACTAAACACAGCAGTTGATCCAAGCGATGAAAAGCAGTTAACCACAAGTCCAATTACAACAACTGTGACCTATTTAAAGATTAAAAACCTATCCAAATGATTTAAGCACTTTCCTTATATCTTACTCTAATTTTGAGAAAAATAAAAATTTATTGAGCATTAACACTGTTTTCATAAAAAATATGGTTAAAGAATATTACTTCAGATAACTAATTGACACAACCATTATGTTTTATATATATATATGTCACATGAGATCAGATGAACACAAATAATACTATGTGGATCATTTCAGTTTGATAGATATACATTATTTCCAACTTACGTGAAGCAGGATCTAATACATAGGTCAATTAAAAAAATAAAAAAACTGTTGATATCCAACTATGTTTTAATCAGAAAACTATTTCTGTAGTATTTATAATAAAATTTACACAAGTTTATGTATTTGTAAATAAAAATATTTTTAAATATAAATAAAAAATTATCCCGAGGAAATACTTTTTATAGTAGGTAAATTTAAAAGCATGATTTCAAATGTTCTCCATACTTACAAAATAAAACAACGTAGAAGATAAAATTCAGACCACATTAAAGCAGTATTATATTCATGTTTGTAAAGCAGTATTTTAGAATTGTATCATGTTGTAAAAGTTCAATAGCACATATTTTACCTTTAACTGGTTTTGTAGACTAAATTCTAACATTGAACATTTGGCAATAGCAAGTTTTTGCATCTTGATGGCTGCCATATTTTTGCCACTGAGTATGATTCACACAGTACACTTTCTCCTTCTATATCCTTACTTCTAAAATATTATTATTAAAGTGTTTTCACTTTCAGTATTTTCAAAGCATCATAGTATTACTTATTATGATTAATTTTATACTTTGAAGTATAACAAGAAACATTTTCTACAACAGAAGTGTTGTATATAAAGATGAAGTATCAAAAACTAGAATTTTAATGATTCTTTTATTACATGCCTCAGAAATGTATC